GTCTCCCGGCTAGTTCCACTGCCCATCCCACATCCCGAGACTCATGCCGTGGTGACGGCCTGGCCATCCAGCTCTCCTTTCGGTTTCCCTTGCTCGCTGGTTTCTTTGGCCTTAGTCCCCCCAAGCGGATCGGGGTCAAAATATGGGCGCTCAGCTTGGGGAGTGATGCGTAGCATGTGTCGCCTGGTCAAGCCTTCCTGTACGGCGAAGTCCCTCAGAGCAGAGCTGGTCAACGTCAGCATTTCCAAACCAAGCCAGGACTTGAAACAGCGGGTGCCTACTGCTGCGTTACCCGGTTATCGTAAACGCCAACCGTTCCCGGGGTCCAGTGAACACGAATATGAAAGTCTTGGCCGTGCTCGATGTGGTTGTAGAGGAAGTTCAGGATGGTGGCTTAGATTTATTAGCGAATAAGCAAGCACCAACGGTAGGCAAGCACGTACTGCTTTCCTCCTCCTTCAGCTCGGGAATGCGCCGCGTATAGAGACGGTTGACATAGAGCGAGTTTGTCTTGGTGACCTAGCGTGGCTCAGCAGGGGATGCCTTGCATATATGGCAATCTGAAGGCGTAGAGCTGGGAACTTACAGGGTGCGTTCGAACGACCGGGTGGAGCGTCTCAATGGGCTCCCGGATGTACCTGTCCCTGTGGTCATGCACAGCGGCTTGCGAGAATCCCGAGTGCGTGGCGTACTTTCCTTTCACGAACTCCTGGAAGGCAGGAGACAGGTGGTTGTACGCCGCAGTGGTTGATAAATACAGAGTATCTCCTCCGGACTCTGGCACTTCGAGTGGGAGAAAGATGGTGATGCCCATTCCGTTTCTGGCCCATCATGAGCAATGGGTACTTCGTTGGCGGAGCGACCCCGAAACTTACAACTCGTAGCTCATATCCGTGTGCCATTTGATGCTACTGACATTGTTCTTGATCTCGTTGTCAACCGCGCCGGCTCTATATTCGGTGAGCGCCGCCTCGGTTAGATGGACTGCCGCCGGCGCTTACACAAAGTCCCGATAAACGGGCAGCAGCTCCGGGTAGCCTTTGATATGCCCGCCCATCTGGTGGACGTGCAGCTTCCCGAAATGCCGTCCGAACTCCAGCTGTCGCTCGGGCCCGATCTCCGCGAAGTCCTGGTCCCGGAAGATGACGATGCCGCGCTCGGCCGCCAAAAGGGCAAGCTCATCTTTCTGCTGCGAGGTGAGCGCGCTCAGCTGGATGCCCGTCACTTCGGTCCCGATCGCCGGAGTAATCTCCCTAAACTGCGCGCCTGGAGCTTTGATGAGTGCTGCTTTCTTGGGGTCGGCTCGCAGGCCGGGGTCCGAGTGCTCGAACTCCTCCAGCGGTGGGTGGAGGCCGGGGGTGTAGTGCGGCAGGTAGGCGGCCCATTTGTACTAGCACCTGGCGGTCAGCACTCGCAGCCATGGCAGGTTCAGGTGAGGCACAGATACCTCCTGTTTTCCATAGTCTATGGAAGTCTCGGCGCGAAGCTCGGAAGAACCGCTCTCGGCCTCTGGCTTGGCAGCGGGATTGATTGTGGTGGTGAGAGCTGTTGTCTTGGTGGCCATGGTTCTGAATCATCAAGATGAACAAGAGTGTTTTGGCTTCAACAGTTAAATCAATATTGCTCTGTTAAATCCAATGTCTGCTTTTTTGTACTCTTGGATCTGGATGTTCCAGTCGTCGGACGCTGCCCGGTATCCTCACGCCTCTCCTATGGCGAGCTCTGTAGCTAAATGACGCGACATCCTCCAATTACCAATTAACTACGATCGTTCTTTCCCGCGACAAAGCACGACATAGATGCCTCTATCTATGCATCTGGTCATTAACTCATATCGGTGGCATGGACCCCCACGATCAGCACGTTCTAAGACGAAGAGTGCTGCGTGGCTGTCGCCCTCTATGCCGTTTGGACAGGTCTCCCCTGATCAGGCAACAGCAGCACCTTGCTGTCAGCGGCGAAACCCCGCATATACTGTACAATCCTCCAGGATAGCAAACCGGAGAAACTAATGGGAAGGAAAAGTTCCACAGGCTTCTATTAGCTTGTGTATGATATCTTTGGCCTACCTCGGCCAATATTTCGATCAAGAAACCGCCGCGATTGGCTTTCTGTCCATACTTCATCATGTCCTTCAAGGAAGTCTACTAGTGAGTTAAGCTTCTTAACATTACACTCTCCTGTCAATTTAACCCACTCCTCCTCTTCTAGTCCCGATTTCATTGACGTAAACTTCAGCTTAATCCCGAGACGATGTGCCGGATCGTCCTGTTCTTCAGAAACGCCGCACTCAAAATCGTGTTTTTGGTCGGGCGGAGCCAGGAACCACTGAACAAAGACAGAGTTCAGATCCGCGTGTTTGGGAACCCAGAGCTGGACTCCTCGGAAATAAACTCTGGCCCGCCCACGAGCCAAACTGCACATAAAAATGGACCCACTGCAAAGCTTCCTTTGAAGTTCTCCATTCTTCCAGTTGCAGCCGAGCAGGGTTCTATGCGGAACAACTCTTAAGTTGGATTCTGAAAACTGTGTAGTTTTAGTATCCTCTGAAGTAGTAGTTTCTCTAATAACTTTAAGCTCATGCAGTATTTGGATAAGCCACTCTGCCCCTTGAACAGATGTTAAGAGACGCTCTACGGGCTTTCTGTAAACAACTAAATCGTTAACACGCAGCTGAATCTCGATAACAGAGAAATAAATCTTTGGCGGCTTGGCCAAATCCAGAATCCTCTTAGCCTCAATGTGGCCGAGTCGAAAATACAACGGTGCGCTGGGCTCTGCTTGGTGAAGTTTAACAGATCCCGAACCAAGCACGGTGACCTGCTGGCCATGGAATATATCCATATCCTTAAGGCTGTGGTATGCGTCGATTGCCCCTAGTCGTGGCCCCGGAACGGGATAATAACCTTTCTGGGTTTCTTGGCTAAGATAATCCGTCTCTAGAATTTGTTCGACTGGTGCGGTGATATCAATCTCATCCACGAATGGACGATATTGAAATCCAACTGTCTTTCCTCCCAGGGCTTGAGGGATAGACTCCTGGTTGATCGGATCACCTCCGAACTCATAGGCTTTTGGGCCGTGAGGTAAATTCTTCTCTTTCCGGGGCTCAGCGGACACTCCATCCTTTGGCACATTTTTCTGGCGCATTTTTTGAACATCTGACTTGTTTTGTTGAGTCTCATCTACCATCAATTTTCTCTTTGGCTTTCTCTGTAGAGCGCCAAGTCGCATCCGCGCGCGAAACATCGTGGCAACTGAGTTGACAAGTGAATCTCCCATAGAGATGACCAAGGCTGGATCTCGGCGTAGAAATCTGCCCGCCCAGGCAACGAAGGTCGGCAAATATTCTTGGAGCTGTAGGTTCCTTCCGAGCTCGATCTCTAGTTTGAGATAAGCCCACATTTTCCCAATCGGAGCTGCTTTCTTAGAGCAAGGAGGTGCCAAAAAATATCCACGACGAAAAGTATTCGCATCGTATGGCTTGCCAGCCAGCCACAGCGCAAAATTCATGCCAGCGTCGATTTGTGTACCCATGCTTAACCTATTGCATTTCCTTGTAAAGAAGCCGGACGATGGATGGTAAACGTGAATGAAAATGCGTCGTAAAGCTCCATGCCTAAAGTCGAGATCAAATTGTAATGTGATCGGTGGGTTTTCGGTGGCGTCTAGGGTAATGTTTAAAGGCCGGAGATGATCAAGGCACCTACGCAAGTTTTGACGCGTACAGCTGGATCCGGTCACAACAAATGGTAGAGGTAAAATGTCTAGGACATCGACTGACAAGGCATCGTGGAGAGATGAGAGTGGTTTGGTCCATGCTTTCGTTAAACAACGAGGCTTACGGCCTATGGCAAATGCCTCTTCTGCGCGCCAATGCCAATCGTAGCCGAAGGCTGAGTCTGAATAAAGTCCCTTTTCTCTGAGTAATCCGATGCTTGCGCTCTGTGGATCCCAGAATGAACCAATATTGTCATCTTCACTCTGGACATGCAAAATGACGCCTAAATTAGATCCTACTGGACCCCCTGGGCTTGCGATCCTCTCGGAGCTTTGGTGTGAGACTTGGACCTCAGAGCGCTTAAACTCCTCGATTCTCTTTTTCAGCAGGGTTCCTAGTTCTTCCTCGTCGTGAACGGGTGTCGGATTGGCCAGAAATTGGAGTAGCTGAGTAAACTCCCTTTTGGAGAGTTGACTGGACGCTTCTACAGCAAATTGGCCTGCGACCCGGGGTCCAATGGTTGCACACTGAGGGCCAGAGCAATTAGCACACGATGGGCGTGCACATTGTGGCTCAGGGACGAAACCGCTTAGAGAAGCATTGCGGGCGTGGCATAGTTGCAATGCTTCAAGACACTGGCTGGCAGCACCGTCATATAGGGTGGCTAGGTCCTTGAAGGGCATTCTAAATCACCCGCTCGTTGGCCGGAAAGAGAGGAAGTGAATTTGATCGATGACTCGCTTGTCACAGCAAAATGCATGTTTTTTTCTTCTCAAGTCTCATCAATGAAAAGAAGGGGATGGATGCACTTCAAAAAATTTTTGGGTACAGTATCACGTGAAAGTGCACTGACTAGAAATTATGCAACACGTTAAGAGGTGCACAACTCAAACTCAATATTGACTATTGCTTCAACTCTTCACCTTCTGAAAATTAAAACTTAATATTTCAATCGACTCTAACTCAAAAAATGTAATGTAAGGATGTGGATTTATGTGTATTAATTAATCAGTTTAACTTGGATGCTATACAGAGCTAGAATTGTTTCATTTAATTTTTAGGCAAGTATTAGTTAGATAGACAGATCTGATGAATTGTATAAGATTTCGAAAGTAACTGGTTCGTGCGAGCCACGCTATTTAAAAGCGTGCTACCTTAAGCTGTGTTGACCCCTACGTCTCTGTATTTGATTAGTATTAAGAACAAATCCCAAAGAGGAAAAGCGATAGATAAGTTAAAAATAAATAAGAATAAAGATGAAAAAAATTAGAAAAAAAGTCTCCTCGGGAAAGGCTCGAACTTTCAACCTCCTGATTAACAGTCACTGGGGAGTGGTCAGCAAGTGCGAACTACTACTAAGCCAAGGTTGCGACTTACGACGCGCTAGCCAATTGCGCCACCGAGGACTGTGCATGAACGGGTAAAATATATATATATAAAAGCGAAAGTGGAAAATGAAATTAAAAATGACTCAAGTTCGAGGGTCGACCCCCCAGTTATCTCGAACTCCCCCCCCCCTCGTCACGTGAACCAACCAGATCTACAAACGGATCATTTTCACGATATTGTGGAGATTTCTTCACCACTAACTTTTGAATTCGTTGATTTGGTTGGTTGGTGGACCACCGGGGGATCGATAACTAGGGAGAAAGGAAAGAAAAAGAAAAAAAAGAAAAGAAAGAAGAAAAAGAAAGAAGAAAAAGAAAGAAGAAAAAGAAAGAAGAAAAAGAAAGAAGAAAAAGAAAGAAAAAAGGAGACAATACTCCTCGGGAAAGGCTCGAACTTTCAACCTCCTGATTAACAGTCACTATGGGACGGGTTAGATGCTATTGCTACTGGGTGTAAAAGGTAACTTACGACGCGCTAGCCAATTGCGCCACCGAGGATTATGTACCCGGCGGAGGTTAACCCCTTACTTATTAAGAGAGTCACTATTTTTAAGCAGACACAATTTTAAACGCACTCCACCATAATTGTCTATAGGAAGCTATAACTTTAATACCTAGTTCTAAATATTTAATTTGCCATATCTATAACGACTCATTCCCAACGACGATTTTACATATTAAGAGCCTTACTCGCCGCCACCATAAAGGCACTAGTGAACATCGCCTTTCTATTGCTACCAGCTATCATATGTTGCGGTATTTCCACTCTGCCGTCTAAGCGGGATGTCGGTTCTCTAGATATGCAGACAGGCAGCGCATTCTCGACCAAAGATAGTGACGACTTTCACGTTCTCCATTACAAGGAGACCCAAAGTGCAAACCGGTCCAAAGCGGTATCTATCAAGCTCCTGTTGAACTTTAAGTGGATCATCAGTAGGTCTCGCGCCAGGATATCCAACGAGCTCTCAAGCTCTTATAGGGGAGTCGAGAGATAAGTCTCGGAACGCGGCCCCGGAGCTCGGCTAAGGAGCCGAGCTAATGAGCGAGCTTTTATAAGCCGGGTTCCGAGGAGCAACGGTCGCGACAAGAATCACAAAGGCGGATTTGCTATGGGAGACGCATATAAATCTCGCTTCCGATATTAGACTCGCGACTATATGCTCTCTAATTAAGGCCAGAACTTTATGAACGAGCAGCGACTCTACCCCTGCGATATCCGGACTCAGGCTCAAGAGCGCCTCTAAGAGCTCCCTCAAAGGAGCTCCGGTCCACGACTAGAATCCACAGTTCCGGCGCGTGCTCTCTAAACCCCCTTCTCGCGCGCGGTGAAACTTCCCCGTGGGAAGCACCACCACCGGCGCGGCGGCAGGCATGCCGGCCTGCCAGATGCGCGGCCATGTGGCTGGCATGCCGACTGGCATTAATGTCCGCCCGCGCCCATGGCAAATGGCCAGTATTTTGGCTGGCCAGATGCATGGCCAGATGGCTGGCTTGATGGCTGCCCACATTCATGACCCTTGGTCTGTCATATGCGTGGCGCCGACAGCTGGCCTTACGGCCGCCAGATAACTATAAGCTCGGATCAGCTCTTCGGTAAATCATGAGCCAAGATTTACTCCTAGACCCGGTACCACGGCAATCATTATATGCACGGCTGCTGTTGAAGCGCGAGTTGCGGCATTGTTTAGTCGACGGCCGTAGGCCCTTAGTCATTGCTAACGAGGAATGACGGCGAGGAGGTGATGCAGGTAGTCGCCGTCGGCCAGGACACACGCCGTTTAGCTCTGCGGCAAGCCTTCTTCATTAGGAAGTATCATCGGGAGATATCATCGAGAGGTTCGGCGAAGGGGCTCGGTCGAGAGGTATTGCCGGGAGGTATCAGGGACAGCGTCGTCCTCACAGGGCCAATATTATATTGTTGACCTTCCCTCACCTGGTTCATGCTATTAAGACATGTGAAAGATAGTCGAGGGAAATATGCCGTTCCTTTAATGCTAGAATGGTGTCTATAGAGCAATTATCCCAACGGTTTATCGCAATACTCGCCTAGGTCGCCTAGGTCACCTATGGCGAAGCAGTCTTGAGCCTCGCAAGGGAAAGCTAACGAAACACAGCTGGTTGACTGGTTGACATCAGCTTCCCCGCAGCTGTTAGTCGCTAGCGTTATATAATCGCAGAAGTATAGTTGTAAAATACACACTCGCCACCGCCGATCTTATGGAAGGCTACTCGTTTACGTCACATGTGAATGCTGCCTTCATATGGAACTCAGCGATCTATATATTCCCCCATCCTCCCGGATCCTTCATGTGGCACGCTATGAAAGAAAAAAGAGAGCAGTTATAAGACTATATCAAGCGATCAAAGCTACAATCCGATCGCCATCCATCATTTCCGTTGATGGAACGCCTCGCGGTCGTGCTTTCGTGATTACATTCACGAACTCTTGTTCATCAATTTTAGCGCTTCTAGTCCCATCTGGCATGTTTACTGAAGATATCTGATGATCCTCGACGTACCAACTCCACTGTTGCTCAAAGCTTCCCTGCAACAACACTATATACAGCGACCCTGTCAGCAAGGGACTTCCGAGGAGGGTGGAGTAAAATGCTTCATGCTTTTGCAGTAATAAGGTGTCGGCGGCCGCGTGTCTGACGTAGTCATTCTGGTCCTCTAGCCGGGCTGCTACAGCTGTGAGGACTGCCTTGGGGAGGCTCGATTGACGACCTAAGGTGTCAGCGGCCGCGCTTCTGACGTTGTGATTCTGGTCCTCTAGCCGGGCTGCCACGGCCGTGAGGACTGCCTCGGGGAGGCTTGATTGGCGACCTAACGCGTAGGTGGCTGCGTGTCTGACGTGTAGATCCTGGTCCTCTAGCCGGGCTGCCACGGCTGTGAGGACTGCCTCGGGGAGGCTTGATTGACGACCTAAGGCGGTGGCAGCCATGCGTCTAATATAGTAATCTTGGTGCTCTAGCCGGGCTGCTACGGCTGTGAGGACTGCCTTGGGGAGGCTTGATTGACGACCTAAGGCGGTGGCGGCCATACGTCTAACGTAGTCATCCTGGTCCTCTAGCTGGGCTGCCACGGCTATGAGAACCGCCTCGGGGAGGCTCGATTGACGACCTAAGGCGTTGGCGGCAGCGCGTCTGACGTAGTCATTCTGGTCCTCTAGCCGGGCTGCTACAGCTGTGAGGACTGCCTCGGGGAGGCTCGATTGACAACCTAAGGCCTCGGCGGCCATGACTCTGACGTTGAGATCCTTGTTCTCTAGCCGGGCTGCCACGGCTGTGAGGACCGCCTCGGGGAGGCTTGATTGATGACCTAAGGTGGTGGCGGCCGTA